ATTAATAAAGTTCGGGGTTTGTCGGGTAGTGAATTGATTATTGTACACTTTAAGTACTCCCCCCATGCATAAGTGTAAGCTAAATTACGGTGATTAATTAGCGAAGATATTATTTCGAAGTTCCCTCTTTCCAAGAGTGGATGCAAATGATTTGTGAAAATGATTACGCCGCGGTACTCATTTTCACAAAGTAATACACGCAGCTAGTTAGCTAATGGCAATTTACATAACACCTAGGAAGAAAGGTGCAATCACGTTCTCTTGCCTAGTAAACGTCTGTACTGTAGCGTGGGGGGGGGGGCTAGCCTACTGATGTACTGTGTATAGCGGTGTACGATGAAGCATAATATGACTAGGCCTATGCGTAAGTAGGCAGTGCAATTATTATTATTAATTATTAATTATTTTTGTTGTCAGATTTAATCTTGCATACATAGCTGTACATCTATCATTGTGACCTTAACAATTATAGAAGTCAAAATGATCATTCACTTATGTTATACTATCGCTCCTAAAGACAATTTGCGTAGTTTATTCTTTGGTACATTTTGTAGAACATCTCATGGACTATTTATTTTGAAACACAAGTGTGTGAGAAGTTCCCTCTGCCAAATGGAAGTGAGCCAGCAAACAAGTGTACTCCAGGTAAGGCACAAGAAGCGACAGTGTGAAGATGTGTAGCGCAATTATTGAGTAATGCTGTATCATGCAGCGCCATCATTGAGCAATGCTATATCTAAGGATCGGGATAAGATCGCAGTTCATCATTGAAAATAAGACTTAATTTATCTGGTAATGGCACTGTCCGCGCTGTTCTGAATTTATGAGAAATAAAATGCTATTAAGCTTATTAATAAACCGTTCGTAAAGGCATTTAATTTTTGAATTTGATTTTGTATGCATTACAGTTGTAAACGTAAGTTAATATTATTTACAAACATGTATGAGCATAATTAAATACTGATGGCCATTGCGTATCGTTTATAAAAAATTAAAATAATGAGAAACCGATTTTCCTGAGTAACGCCATACTTATTAGTTGTAACTGAATAGCTTCTTATTTCTACTGCATTCGCATTGTAAAGAAAAGATAATAATTATCACATGACTAAATTACAGACCTGATTATTTATTGTTTTACTACTAATTATTCAGGATGTTTATTTATTCAATAGATAATGGACAATATCTCGGCCAATTCAATACCCCTGGTGATGTGCTAGTTAATAGGTGGAAGTATGAAGACCAATCTGACGTACAAAAAACAGAGAAGACTTTAGACATTACCGTGAACGGATGTATACTAACTGGGGGCTTATTCGTTGGCAAATCAGGAGAAGACGGTAATAATATATATATATATCTGTCTCTTATACACATCTAGATGTGTATAAGAGACAGCTGATACTGTATATCAATGTGTCGTAATTGCGTATGTTGTTGATAACCAAGACATCGACCCCATTCTAGCTTATCGCGCCATGAAGGTTGTATGTTGCTGTTTCATCATGAGTGTCCCATTATGGAGGATAAAAGAGACATCCATATTTCACTATATTATGTATATATTCTATTATCCGTAATTGTAGCCATGCCGAAAAGCAAAAAGAAGACAAGTAAACCAGTGGTAGAGGAACAAACGTGTATAATACACTTTGCATCTATTACGGATAAAGGATACCTTCACGTATGTAAACGGGGAGCGGTACCGACGATTGTGTGAGATACGTGACATAAGAAACGACTTCCCAGATGATTATCCTTATAAGTTTAAAGACGTAACATCTGTCAAAATATTCCTGAATTTTTTGACAGCACTATCCACGGATATCATCGTGCTTGCTACACGAAATTTTCAGCTCATCTGAAACGACCAATTGACGAGAAAAGTTCGGAAGGTACAAAGCGTTCGAGACGAGAAATTAGTGACAAATCCGAATACGACAGTGAAATCGAAGAAGATGAAGTGTAACATCAATGTAGGCCTACTCTCGATTTGCCAACCTGCAGACAACATTATCTGGAGTAGTAATATTTAAATAAAAACGACACCAATATATTATGTGAAAACTAGCATGATGTCCTCCGCCTTTACACCTTATCTGATGAAAATGTTGATCCTGATCCTGACAAAGTGTTCTGCATCTGCCCTTCGACGGCTGTAGGCCTATTGAGTACGTATCAGCGTATACTTGCATGAAGTTATTTCAACAAAATTAATACAGTATTAAATTATCCATTTGTTTATATCAAATACATGTAGAGCTACGCAGCAAACTTTTACTTATTAGTATCAATTACCCCGAAAACTGTTAACGAAAATGAATTGCATAACCAAGGTTTAAAAGTAGAATCAGGACCCGATTTACAGAATAAGTATAAGCTTCTCCAAAACTGAGGGCGTAGTTCACTTTATTCGGAAAGCCAATTTCACTAGTTTTCAAGTTCACAACAATTTATGAGTTTCCTTTTGATTCTTAGCAGATTTTTCTGGTTAAACTTTATCTTAGTACGTAAATAATTATAGTGTACAAAAATGCATTGTAATATAGTTACATTATTAGCGAACTTATCAATTAGATAATAGATGTTGTAGATACGCGAACGGCGGCGTATCGTGATTCGAACCTCATGACGTCACTTCTCAAGGTAAACAATCGGCGGTGACAAGCGGGTAGAAACTGCTTACAAAAGTCGAATTTTCTCGTTAAATCCCAGGTTTTGCAAGACGCAACATCAAGATATGTTTTTTCCACTATATATAGTACCTACAGTTTGAGTGTCATTGAGGTAGGAGCTTATACCATGGTTAAGGTGATTTTTGACTGGACTAATGCAACAAAGGGAAGAATTGAATGAATTTAAGAATGACAAAGATACATTAACATTAAGAAGCTGTTTGTTCAGTGAGGGCTGCTCCCACTGAATATGCAAGGCTTCTTTGATTTTTAGAATTTGGGTTGTAGAGGCGGAGTCCAGTATAGTGAAGCAGTCCTTATTGGCTGATTGTTTACAATGACGTGAACTCTTTAAATGCTTTAATATAATGCGAGTTCCCATCCAGTGTTAGGTGCTCACGCATGCGTGTGGAGAAATGTCGGCTTGTTTCGCCAACGTAACAAGCATCAGCCTGCACATACAACATTTATAAACGACACGCGAACGGAGACCAACTGGGATGGGATCTTTAGCTAAAAACAAATTTTTAATTTTGAATAAAAAAATATTTTTTTTAATTTAAGTCATAATAAAATTCATTCGATAAGGCACGGATTTTCTTGCTAAGGACATAATAATACTCTTAAGGATAGTAGTTAATGCCATGATATCAGAATTTAAGCCCCTTCAGCTATTATTGATTTTATAAGCCCTATTAACTAACGTACGAATAAGACCGATTTTGTAACTAAACGAACAAAAACTGAAAAAAATTGTAAGTAACCCAGTATATGATTTGTTCCTAAATTATGAGGTCTGAAGTGGCCAATCCTTAATTTTAGACACCAAGATGTCCAAGAAAGGAAGCTTTTTCCCTACATCTTTTTCCATAGGGAATTTAATGTTGGGATGGCGTGAGTTAAGGTAGTCAAAAAATTAACGAGCATCCTCTTCTTTATTGAAAACACAAAACTTATCATCCACAAAACGTTGGTACAATAACACATTGGGATCCTTGTACTGTTCATGCCGGATTTTCTCATTCGTGTCCCATGAATGAATTGGCGAGAATAGGGGCTGTGGGGAGCCCATAGCAACGCCATCTATCTGGTCATAATAAACTTTGTAAATACAAAATGGGTTTGAGAACTAGCGAAAACAAATAATTTCTTAATATTGGATTTGCTTATTTTCAAGGCAGTGTCATCATTTTCCAAAATATAATTCACAGCCAAATCAATAGATTCATCTAATGTAATATTGGTGAATAAACTTTTAACATTAAATGAAACCATACATTCATTACTGAAATTTTATAATTTAAGGTCGTTAACGAAGCTAAAGAAATCTGTAAAACAAAAATCCAAAGGCAAATGAGGTTGCAACAAATTAAATAAGAATGTTGCTAAAATTATAATTACTTGTGCTGATGGATGAAACAATTGGTCTGAATGCAGTCGTTTCTTCGGGCGCCCTAGCTTTGTTCATTTTAGGTAACCCATAAATCCTGGCAGGTTGCGAACCTGTAGAATAAATATTATTGTATGTGTTCTGGTCTAGTGTCCCATTTTTCTTCAGAGTCCGTAGAAATCGTTGAAGTTATCCTTCCCGTGTGATTGTTGGATCACAAGTAATTTGTTTGAATTTAGTTAGATCAGAAATGATATCCATTATGGCAAAGTTGTATGATTTTCGATCTAAATAAACAAAGCCTGTCTCTTATACACATCTAGATGTGTATAAGAGACAGGTTGTAGATACGCTCTACTCAAACATATAAGTATTTCTCTGTTTGGAGGTTCTGCAGATATTATCTTCCTGAAGACGATTGAAGCAACTCAACCTAAACGTCAAGACTTTCTTAACTACAACAATCCTTTTCAGAACTACCTACGTGGTGTACTGCAAGCTTCTACTTCGCCATGCAAACCTTCAAACAATACTTTGTTCAGCTCTACGGGGAGGCATTAGTCAGAGTATTTGAGCGTCAGTCTATCAAGTATGCGAAACTGATTTAAAACCTGACTTTTCTCAAGAGATGCAGAGATTCCAACGTGATATCCCAAGGCTTACCGGTATTACTTTTTTCACCTATTAAAACCAAGGCCGCTTCAGCTATCCTCAAAAAGAGAACGAATTAGTAATGCCAGATTCAAACTGTAATCTGTAGAAACCATCATCGATCGCATTGAAACTAAACCTAACCAACATCTGCAGGAAAGGGACCACCGCTAGCTGACTCACCTTCGAGTAAAAAAGAAAGAAACAGATAAATAAGTTCAAACGTCTCACATGTAGTAACAGTGACACTTTCAAAGCTTCTGTCGGCCGTACGGAGTTCAATGCCAAGACTGACAGTAGTAAACCCAAGCAATCGAAATTTGCCATCAGCTGAGAGATCAGTACTTGTCCTAGGCTTGAACTTCGCTACAACACCTTCAACTATACCGAAGGAAGAGATATTCGAGAGAGTAGAACCTTCACTAACTGGGTTAGACAAGACTCTAGCAGACAACATCCGTATGCAGATTTCTCAACTGCTTCGCCAGAACATCAGACCGAAATCCAACATCACCAAGGATGAACGAAATTCATTGAAAAGTCTCCGTGCTGACTCTACTATCTATATTTTAACAGCGGGCAAGGGCAATGCAACGGTCATCATTGATGTCGCTCAGTACAACGAGAAAATCTTGCGTATGTGAGGATCAAGAAAGACCCGACTAGAGCCACCGAAAGGAGGGTTACAAGCCAGTTACTCGAACTACATCGTTTGGAGGCACTATCGAAGCCATTGTACCATCAACTCCGGTCTTCAGCATTCATATGCCCGAGACTATTCGGACAACCGAAATTCATAAAGCGGACATTCCACTACGGCCCATCGTTTCTTCACAAGAATCACCAACCTACCCTCTCGTCAAGTATCTTGCTAGGATACTGTATCCACTGGTAGGCAACACTGGCCATCATGTAACAAACTTCCAACACTTTGTGAAGACCATTCGGTATGTTTACTTCGAATCTACTGACACTTTTGTTAGCTTCGACATCAAATCACTATTCACCAATGTACCGGTCAATAAGGCATGTCCTATATCCAAACACCGTCTAGAAGACGATCACACTCTCTTAAGGAAAGAATATATCTGAACCTTGAACAGATTCACGATTTACTTTCACAGTGTTTACTGTGTACTAGTTTGAAATGGAGTTTCTCGAACAACTAGCGCTTCTTCCAGCCACCAAACAACCAAAACTCTGGCTCCGATACGTCGATGACACTTTCATAATTTGGCAACACAGTAAGGTGTACCTAAATGGGTTTTTTTTAGATCACCTGAATTCTCAGCAAAAAGCAAGCACGTTTACCATGAAGGAGGAAAACAAATGTTCTGGTAACCAGACAGGACACAGGAACTTTGTCACATGCAGTCTATCGCAAACCAACACACACCGACAGATATCTGAACAAACGTTCGTTTCATCATTCATACCAAGAAGGGAGTTTGTAACACACTCATCAGAAAAGCACATTCCATCAGCGATAAAAACTCCATCCAGAAAGAAGTGCAACATGTTAAGGCAGCCCTTAAACTTAATGGTTATCACACGAGAGGCATTACTTCACCCAGACCCAGCAATAGGCTAAATAATACGGAATCGAGAAAGTCTGTTTGTTTACCATATTTGGGACAGCTTTCACACCGCATTTAACGCTATCTACCACAAGCCGATGTCAAAGTGTTTCATAGCGCACCCAAAAAACTATCCCGGACTCTACAAACACACAAGGATAAACCACTAGTACAGAGTCAACCAGGAGTTTATCGGATCCCGTGCGAATGTGAGAAGGTTTACATTGAATCGTGAGAGGATTTCCCGTACGATTAAAAATCATAACGGTACTGGGTTTGGTCTACAGGAGTTCGTGCTTCATTCCATTCATAGAAAAAGCCTTTTGATGGAGAAAGTGTACCTTTTTAGCAACGGTTTGCCTAGGTTGAAATTAACTCCGGCTATATAAAATTTCCATAAAATTGTATTATTTTAAATAATATAGTAATATAATAGGCATAACCAAGGTCTAGCCTAGGCTAGGCCTAAATGAGTGACTATATCATGTGAGTGTATAACATTTTATAAAATATGAAAAAAACATTAAATTGTGAAAGAATAAAGGAAGAAGGAATAATTCTAATATTTATGCTTAATTACTTCCTTGATGTGACAATATACTCTATGCAAAGTTTGTTGTATGTTCAGTTCACACTGAAAAAGGTTGCAGGGACTACCGAAATATTTGTGTTCAAATAAATATATTATTATGTTCCTGAAAACTTCAACCCTTGTTTTCTGTCACTTGTGATCAGTCTCACTACACATGATAGGACCGGAACATACGTGCCCCAATTACATTGATGCCTATCTCTTATACACATCTAGATGTGTATAAGAGACAGAGTAATTTTAAAACTAAGCCATTAACTAGCTTCCAAAAATAATCACCAACACAATATACAATCAATAATTAATTTTAAATACTCTGTTCTCAATAATAATAATAATAATAACTTTTAGAAGAAAACTTCATTAACATGTAAAACTTTTATAGGCAACAATTTGTAAAGTTTTAAAACTATTCAATTCCACTTGTACATTTTATATCCATTAAAATTCTCTTGTAACTTTCTAAGTATTACCTTCACCTCTCCGATGGAGAGTTAATTACCCTTGCGTCTAAGAAAGAAAGGTAAAGAGTGTTGCAATAGCACGCTTTTATGTGTGTTGGTGGGGTGTGTGCCTCCTTTTGGGGTATAACTCAAAAACTACTTGATTGATTTACTTTAAATTTTAACACATTGATAATATTACATCTCAGCCCTACTTAAAATCACGTGCTTATCGGAAATAATATTCAGATTTTAGATTGTTATTTATATATTTTCCTGTTTTAACAGCCAACAGGGCTAACTCGAGCGAGATCGTTTGATCCTGTTTTGCCAGGCTTACCACGCGATGCTGTCCGGTCGGCGAGCAATTAAATTCCATATTTTGTTTATTTTATAAATATGGTGGAATAGAAGGTGGAGTGTGGGGGGGGGGGGGGTGAGGGTTTAAAATCACCGATTATCTTGTTGGTAATGGTATCTTCCATTTTTATACCACATACTAACAGTCTATATGCGCTCTTTGCCCAATGTCATGACAAACGAAAAAAAAAACATATACCACGACGATTATCGACGATTTTTTATCCAATGACCGGTAACAGCAAAGCACGGAAGAACGTCAAAGGTGGAAAGGCCCCTGAATCTAACAGGAACGCTTCTGATCAAGACGGGAGTACTCAGTTTAAAGAAGAAGTGCAACAAAGTAAATCCAGTGCTGATAAATTACATGATATGGTAGAAATAAAGGAATTGATTATCGGCTTCGAACTACAAATAGCTTAGCCTCAGATTCTGTACAGTTTGATATGAACAAAGCCTATGATAAAATAAATAGTCTTGAGAACAAAATTCAAGGCCTTGAAAATAACATTGATGAAGCAGAAAAGTATTCTAGACGAAACTGTCTAATCGTGGTGTCTGAGAAAAAAAAAAGATGAGGAGGTGAGGAATATCTTTAGCGATAAGCTAAATATCTGTTTTAGATCCCAGAGAAATGAAGTACCGGTATTCAAGCCCAAGAAGAAATTAAACAAATTATCAATATTTCCTGCATGAAAATCATAAACTCTTAAACGATCTCAGCTGTTACGCGAAATTAAGTTCAAATATGAAAATAGGATGAAGTCCAACTGGACCCAATCTGCATGCTCACCAACTCTATGAAAAAGCTTGTCATCTGTTCACACTCTGACCTTTCCAGATTTCTTAAGACTTTGACATTATGACTCAGTTTCAGTACTAACTTGTTTATCTGACCTTTACTGATCTTATAAGGAGTATATTATTATTTTTGTATTTTTGTCTTTTGTTTGTCAATTGTTTGCCTTTCTACATATACATTGAATTTATAATTATGTTCTCTTACAATCCTATTATCATTTTAACGAGTTAACTGACCATGGTAATCTTACGCCAACAGTCAATGAAACCTCTAAATTTTTACTCCCTCCGAAATAGGAAACGTACAATCTCTTAATGGAGACACCAAAGATATCTTTCTCTCGCAGTGTAACTAAGAATTATTTTTTAAATCGTTTGTATGTTAGAATTAACGAAGATTTCTTTTGATGCTCTTTGTTTTTCTCAATCTTGGCTTAATTCAAATTCAGCTACCGTGCTGATTGCAATTGATAGAATGTATTATACCAAAGTGACCGTATTGACAGTACCGGTGGTGGAGTATTTATGTATATAAAAGTTCACTAAAAATAAAAATTAGAACCGATCTGCATATCAATGATGATGAATCTGATAGCTTATTTTTTTTTAATTTGTAACAAAAATACAAAAAATATCATCATTGGTACCGTATATCGGCAACCACACCCTAACATTAATATATTTAACCAAGAATTAGATTTAGTCTTAAGTAATATTAACACTGAACATAAAACCTGTTTCCCGCTTGGTGATTTCAATAATGATTTGAGTAAAATAAACACTCACGGTTCCCCCGGGAATTCAATAATTATCCATTCATCTTCATTTTTCTCTATTATTAATATGCCGACGCGCTTCTCTTTAAGTAATGCAACAGTCTTAGACCTAGTATTGACTAATTATACGACTACCCATCAAACTTTAGGTATTTTGCAAACTAACATTACTGATCATTACCCAATTTTTCTTATTACAAAAATGAACGTACCTAAAACGCATAAACCAATCTAAAATACTAAACAAACAAAGCTAATAAATAGTAGAACTTAACAATTTGTCTAATGCAATCGTAGAGAAAAAATGGTATGATTAGTATATATTAAACAATCCTAATAAAGCTTATGATTTTGTGAATGGCCGACTTTCCAACATTATTGATAAAAGTATCTGACTAAAGTAGTGAACACAAAATATAATTCTAAATTTTGTATAAGCACTGGATCCTTAAAAAGTTTACTTAAATGCATAACAAAAAAGAATGTACTTTTTTCAAGCAATTCCGATCTCAAAAAAAAAATGTATTTAAATTACAAAAACATCTAATCATAACTATAAATGTTACACAAAATCTTAAAGGAAACTATATGCAATCATTTTTTTTTTGCCTACTGATGTCATGGACCGGAAATAAATAACATTGTAAACAGCCTAAAAAACTCAAATTCTGAATTTTCATTACCAATCGAATCTTGAAATGTATAATTGTTCCCATAGCACCTTACTTGGCTTATGTATTTATCTTATCACTTAAATCAGGTATTGTACCAAATGTAACTAAGCTAGCAAGAATCATTCCCAATTTCAAAAAGGGGACAAATATGAATTCACAAATTATTGCCCTATTTTCATCTTACTTTTATGTCCAAAATATTAAAAAGAATCGCTTATGATAGACTTTACTCTTACCTTGAAAAACACAACATCCTTAAAAAAGCACAATATGATTTCACTAGAAATTGTTCCACAAGTTTTGCACTACCGTCTATACCTTGTTGAAAAAAATTAAACACACTATTGATAATGGGAAATATGATATTGGAGTTTTCATTGACTTGTCGAAAGCTTATTAGAGGCACAGCCCTGAATTTATG